TTTGACACTTTTTTATATTCAAATGTGTGATTGTATTTGCGTACTTCGTTCTCATTTCCCATTTGACTCTCATTTATTGAACATTGTTGTAAAACTTTACATTTAATTTAGCAGTTTTTCGAATGGTATACGTAACGGCAAACGAACGATAGCTTTCGAAATACATGAACGCTTTTTTAAACGAAAGTGAGTGAGTTACTTTCTTTCGCATTGATTTTCGTTCGAAATAGAAAAACAGGCTGTATATTTAAGTTGCTATAGACTATCTTGAATAATCGTACAATGGAGTCTATTAAGATCCTACGATTCCTTTTCTTAAAGTGCAAAAAAGTGTTTAATTCTTTATTGTTATTGCCCCTCACATCCTTACCTTTAAACTGCATCGCAAAATAATAAAAAAACAAATATTTTTTTCTTTTTTCGTCTTTTGTTTGCTTTATTGATATTTTTTTCAATTCTTATCAAAATAATTGTTTTACAACTAACAACAGTTTTTTGTTACAATAAAATAAAATGTATATAAAGATTCAAATTTAAAGAATTAGTACCGAAATTAGGTTAAATCCGTTGGTAATATTAAGAAATAAATTATAAAACGTAAAGAATAATAGTAAAAAACGAACAAAATATAAAATAATTCAGTTGAGGACGATATGGATGGATTGATTTGCTTAAAACATTTCTTTGAGTTTAAATTTTCTTGTAAAATAAATGTGTATTTTAAAGGACTTTTGTCAAATGTAAGAATACGTTATAATAAAATAATTCAAATGACACTTAAATATTTTTATTTTAGTGTATGGTAAATCATAGATATGCCACGATAGCAGCTGATATTGGTTAACATGTAATAAATCAATTTTAAATTATAGTGTAAACATTGTTTTAATTTCATTGTTGTTATGGATATGTCCAGAAGAAAACAGCTGATACTGGTAAACAGCTGACACCGCTAAACAGCTGTTATTTACGCTATGACAAATGAAAATAGTGTCAAATGACTTTTAATGAGCAACAAATATCAAATTAAAGGTACAATTACGATTTTAAACACGATATAACGATAATTTTGATTAAAACATTGGACGAAATTAATGGTTACAAGAAAAAAATGCTCATCTCATATTTTTTTGTTAATAACTTAAATCACAGTTTTATCTAAGGTTAATTCAAAGTTATTATTTGAAATCATGTTCGCATCCATGTTATTATTGTTTTGTTTGTTTCTATATATATAGAGGGGGAGAGTAAGAGAGTGTGACATTTGATATGTGGTTATATGTAGTTTAATGCGGATTTTTTTTTCATATTTAATTACACTGTTTCTTCAAAAATATAACTGCCATATGTCTATATATTTGATAGGTTATGTTTATATGTATGTGTGTAATAAGTACATTGTGTGTTATTAATAAAAAGAGAGAAAAATTAACATTTTGTATCATATAAAATATATTATTAATTAGATTAATACAAATTATGGCCTAATGACGTTTTTTAATTATAATTGTTAATAACAGTTTTTTGTTGTTGTTTTTTAAATTGTCTTAATTTTGTTTAATTATAAATGCAGTTGTGGTCTTTTGTCATTGAAAGAAATTTAAAAATAATATAATTGACAGAAAAAAATACAGTGAATATTTTTTCAAAACTTTAGAAAAAAAATCAGGATTTATACAGTGGTAGCGAACGTTCGAATTGAGTTGTGCCTTCGATATTAACTGATAAGAGGGCGTTTAGACTACAAATTCCACTCGATTTGAAATGTGAATTCCATGATGCAATAATAAGGTGATGTATCACAACAACAACCTTTGTTTTTGTCTCGACCATCTGTCAAATTTTTTCATATAATATTTCACACGGTTGGCAACACTGCACATCGAATTCAAGTAGAAATTACGCACAAGACGTCAGCTGAGCTAAGTGGACCACTTATTTATTGTGCCATGGTGAATTTCATAGCGAATACTGGGTGAGATGAAAAAACTGCAACCAACTTCAGACTGCTGTCATTTCTAAGCCGCTCGCCCAAAAGCTGTTAAAAGTAATCCTGCAGTTCTTCTTCGGACGGCTCACAAGAAAGACGGATTTAAAGAGTTAATGACGCATACGGGCTTAAAAAACTGCAAAATGGCGCTGTGTTAAGCGAACTAAATTAGAAATACATATAAGAAAATCTCGTTTATATTGTGTATGATCCTATACCTTCTATTCTAATAGAAAGTGGACTATTTGGAGGAGAACCTGCCTCCAGTTTTTAAAGAGAGAAAAAAAGTAACCCTGGAAATCCACAAGTGGTAAAGTACTCGAGCATTTAAATGTGAATAAATCTTTTGTGTCTCGTACCATCGCTCGTTACCGTGATACTGGTAGCGTAGCCCGACGTCAAGAGAGCGGACGAAAGAAAACAGCAATACTAGGAGAAATGATTCGAAAAGTAAAGAAGCGACTTGATCGAAACCCGCGTCCTTATGGCCGAAAAATGGCTCGTGAGCTGAACATATCGCAATATTCCATTCGACAAATATTGAAAAATGAGCTCGGGGTAAAGCCATTGAAATTCCAAAAAGTGCAAGAACTTACACCGCAGCAGAAAGAAAATGGACTCAAAAGAGGTAAAGAGTTGCTTCGCTTGGCCGAAAGTAATGAACTGCCGAATTTTGTTTTGTCCGATGCGAAAACATTCGTTGTCCAGCAGTTTGTAAATAAACAAAATGATCGTGCTTACTTGCCAAAGTGATCAGCTGAAGATGTGCACCTTCGGTTGGCCACCATAACAGCCGATTATCGCTCTTCGCTCGTATTAATCGACCGTGGCATTAGAATAAATGCCGAATATTATCGCGAAAATATTCTGGAGGGTGTATTAAAGCCTTGGGCACGGAAACATTTTGGCCGCAGACCTTGGACATTCCAACAGGACTCAGCATCATCGCACTCAGTACGCGCCACCCAAGAGTGGTTACAAAAAGAGGTTCTTCGCTTTCTTTTCCAGCGCACAATGGCCACCAAAATCTCCGGATACCAATCGGTTGGAAAGTTGGCACTAAAAAATACCAAAGTGTCGATCACCTCAAACCAGCGCTTCGGCGGGAATTGGCTAAAATACCGCAAGCAACATTCGGGCTGCGTGTGGCGGTTTCATTGGCCGTTTGAAGGTCATAACTCGTGCCAAAGGTGACCAATTCGAACAAATCTAAACTTATGCGATTTTCATTCAATAAAATTAAAAAAAATGTAAAAATTATGGCAATTGACTTTGTTGAGGTTTTTTTTTATCTCATCCTGTAAATGAAGGAATTTTTCTTCTGATTTATCTTTAAATTTGCATTTGACGACAACATTTCGATATTGAGTCGTATAACCCCAAATTTCATTAATCGGGGTTATTCCAATTGGTTCGATAAAAGAAAGTTTTATTAATTGGGCGCCATTGATAACTTATATTTTCTATTTGACGGTATAGAAAATGTAACAGGTATGCTAGCTTCTGTCTGGTTTTTGTGGTCATTTCTATTTGAATTTATGTTGTCATTGTTATAATATTCATGTAATTCTATTAAGATCAGCTGTTTCTGAAGTTTGCTGTCAAAATGATTTATTGTGAATTATATTCACAGTATGAAAGTATTAAAACAACCAATCCAAGGTCTATTAATAAGGTCAACCAATAGACTTCCATAACGAAAATTTAAACAATGTCCACTTTTTGACGTTAGACTCGAGAATTTTGAATTTTGACAGAAACTTACGAACAGCTGATCTTCTTGGAAGTGCAAGTTCGTTCAGGAAGATCAGCTGTTCTTAAGTTTGTTGTCAAAATTCATAGGCCTTGGCTTGGTTTAAGATCTATTAATAAGGCCACCCAGCAAGTGAAAGTCAGCTGTCTCGCCCCCTAGTTTTTTACCTATTTCAAATATAAACAGTAATGTATTTTGATAGTAAATTGAAGAAACAGCTGATCATATTTTCCCACCTACATTACCGAAAGGAATTTAAAATTTAAACCCACTGGGTTAACCAAATCCGGTTCAATGTAAACGACCTTTTAAACTGCATATATGTATTAGTTTTTTTTCGTTTTTGTCGGATTCTCTCCTCTATGAGAATTTATTTGCCATACATGCAATGGAATTGACAATTTAAATCCACTAAATTTACTAAATCCAATACAATGTAAACATGATGCAATAATAAGGTGATGTATCAAAACAAAAACCTTTGTTTTTGTCTCGATTATCTGTCAAATTGTTCCATATAATATTTCAAATGGTTGGCAACACTGCACACTGCACGAATTCAAGTAGAAATTACCCACTTTGACAGTTAATCAAGACATCAGCTGTGCTAAATGTACTACCTATTCATTGTGCCATGAATGTGAATATACTATTACGACCTATTACAAATACGGGGAAAAGCACATATTAAGGCTGCTCTAGACGATGTGATCGTAATGTGTTAAAGTGCTCAAACCAGTCGTTCGCATTTATACCACTGTATAAACAACAAAAAATATATATATTTAAAGAAAAAAAATTAGTTATTTTTTGTTAATGGCACAGGTTAATTTCTTCTTATTTTGTTTATTAGGTTACTCTCTGTTTTTTATATATAATAATTTTCTTTTAAAACAACAAAAATTATTTATAATTTGTTTTGATTTTCTTTTATGTTTTGTTTTTTCTTCTTCTTCTTCTTATTAAGTGTAAATGGCGCGTTGGTTTCATTATTTGTTTGTTTTTGTTATGGATGACTATTATCTATTTTCGGGAGTTTTTTAAGGTTAGTTTTTTTTTTGTTTTTATAATATTTAATATATATTTATAATTATTTAATTATTATACACTTATCTTTGATTTACTTTCGATTATATTTTAATTTTTAATTTTGTTTTGTTTTTCTAAATCTACGAAAAGAAAATTAATTCGAAAAGAAAACAAAATCTGAAATGAAAATGAAACCCATTTTGAAATCAAACCGAAAAAAGGAAACCTCTCTAAACATGGACCTCAGGACAATCTTCATCTTTTATGGAGGTGTATTGAACCTTTTTGGCAACATTATCGAAGACGGGCGTAATCATAAATTTCAATTTGTCACGGCTGACATAGACCAGGGCAATCACCAGACCCAACAGAATCATGCTGAGAACAATTAGCAAAAATATCAGAGTGGCAGTGTGTTGGGCCAAACCGGAATTTTCATGAGCGCCAGCAGCACCACCACCATAATGATTATCGGTGGCGGTGTTAAACATAATGGTGGCTGCAGCAATTGCGGCACTACACTGGGACATATCAATTTCGAGTATGGGCAGAGGATTGACCTCATCATGGAAACACATTAGGCTCTCCTTGTTGCGCACGGTGACATTGGTGGAATGGATCCAGGTGCGGAAGGAGCTGATTTTGCAATCACAGGTAAAGGGATTTAAGTTGAAATCCACGATTAGATTTGTGGTGCGATCAGGACGGGCTTCCAATTGATTTAACACCATCAGATCATGGGTCTTGACATATTCGAATTTGTTGCGTTCCAAATCAAGGAATCGTAGATTCTTCAAACAAGACACATCAAAATTGATATCCTTTAGGAAATTATCACCCAAATGCAGATCTCGCAGACTGGGTAAATCACAGAACACCTTGCGATCCTTGAAATGGGTGATTTCATTTTGTTCCAAATGCAATTTCTGCAGCTTCGTCAACTCACTGTTCATGAAAATGTCATGCAAATCCTCGCTGAGCTGTGGTGAACTGTTATCATCGAAGGCATCAGTCAAGTGCAGACTTTGTAAGTTGAGGAAATTCGAAAATACCCTGGGATGGTGATGATTCACCTCATCATCGTCACGCGATATGCTCAAGTTATTATGATTCAATATCAAACGTTCCACATTCTGTACATGATGATAGGATTTGCCACGGATCTCTCGAATATGATTATTACTCATATCGACGATGCGTAGATTTTTGTAATTATTAATCGAACCGAAAACATTCCACGGCAGTTCGGGTATAAAATTCCCTGTGAAGATTAGTATCTCAACATCTTGTGGCATAAATTCCAGAACACTGGTATTACGCAGTCCAGCATTGGTACAATTGACAATATATTGCATCGAACCCTCATACATTTCACGTCCACAAAAGCAGGTGGCGGGAAAATTGGGACCACAACTGGGACTGACACTGGTAAAGGCCAAGGTATATTTGGTGTTCAGCAGCACGGAAAGTGTGGCCAGCCATAGGGAGAGGTTTAGATGTTTTTGTAGTTTTTCGCTGATTGAAAACATTTTGTTGTGGTTATTTTACGTCCAGGGTTAATTAATGATCCGATAGAGATTCCAAAAAATCTGCAAAAGAAAAGAGGGAAACACAAAAAGGAATTAGTAAAGATGCAAGAAAATATTCAAAATTTGATGCTAATATTTTTGATTATAAAAAAAAAGAAAACCGAGCACTTTTATTTTCTCTTATTTTTTAAGTTGGGACTAGTAGTTTCATCATTATTTGATGTTGGGCGCCATATTCTACTTTGCCGAAGTAGTCGATTATCGGCCTAAATTCCCTCTCCATAGTTATCTCTTAACTCATTGCTAGTCCCAGACCTTATCTAGAAACAATATTTTTCAGCTAATTGGGCGCCATTTACAAAGAACATTACAATTACTTAGACAAGTTAAAATCTAAATATTTTTTGGTTCTGGGCATGACATGCTCCCAGAACCAGATCCCCGATTAGCCAGATCCCCGATAGATAGATCCAAGCTTTTAGCCAGAATTCTATTTGTTTTTAGAACAATCTTAATTCTCAAAGCGAGGTTTTGATGATTGGGCGCCATTTACAAAAAAACTTTACAACTGAGTGCCCTGAACGCATGGATCTTTCGAATTCTCGATTACTATAAGTTGCTATAGGTAAGCTTCTTGGTTCGTAGCAACGTCTAAACTGATATGTACATTCTAGCTTTTAGACAGCAACTTGTTTGTATCTCAGACCAGTATTAATTATCAAAGCGATGTTTAGTTAATTGGGCGCCATTTACAAATAACTTTACAATCAATGAATGAGCGATTTCAGCGACTGATTTCTTTCGAATTCTCGGTAACTGTTAATAGTGAGCTAACGTTTTCCGTCCTGGGGTTAGCATGCTACTAACTAGGGATACGTAGTCGAGCTCAAAAGTCGACTTTTCGATTTTTGCCTCTGACCAAAAAGTCGACTTTTCGATCTTTCGATTTTGTCAAACCTGTTCAAAATCGATTTTCGACTTTTACCAACTAAAGCAAAATCGACTAAAAATTTTATTTCTTATAAGAATCGTTGTCAACAGATGAAAAAAGTTCTGCAATGTGTAATTTTTGGACAATTTCGGCTTTGTGATAATAAATCAAGGATTTTTAAAGAAAATCGAAAGTCGATCTTGAAAAGTCGACTGTGCGATCTTCTCAAAGGTCAAAAGTCGACTTCGACTTTTAGACTTTTCAATACAAAAAGTCGATTAATCGATTCGTCGAAAGTCGATTTACTTATCCCTACTACTAACTCTGAGACAGATCATCGTTCCTTATATTAGAGATCTTCTGAAAGCTAGCTCCAAGATTTTACCTAGCAAACCGTTCGTTCTTCAGAACAATATTAATTCTTATAGATACTTTTTTAATTGGGCGCCATTTTTCAAGATTTTTACAATTGCCTAGGTAAGTGGCGTGAACACATGGTTTGTTCGAATTGTCGGTTACTGGTCATAGTCAGAAACGTTTTTGGTCCTGTGGTTAGCTCCCAGATTTTAGTCAGATCCCCGATATAGGTCAGTTTCCGGCACATATTAACCTCACTATACTGATAGGTAGCTCCCAGCATTTAGGCAGCAATCTGTTTGTTTCTAAGAACAATTTTAATTCTTAAAGCGATGTTTTGTTAATTGGGCGCCATTTACAATTTTTCGGTAACAGATGATAGTTAGAAACGTTTTTAGTCCTTTGGTGAGCTCCCAGTTCTTAGTCAAATCCCTGATATAGGGAATTTCTCTGCTCATAACAAGCTCTAATATGACAGCTAGCTGGCAGTTTTTAGCCAGTGGCCTATTTCTATCGCAGACCAGTATTAAGTCTCAATGTGATGTGATTTTTAATTGGGCGCCATTTAGAGATATTTTGATAGATATGAGAGCAGGACCAGGAATATTGAATCCAAACATTAAAAGGCGTTGATGTCGGCCGCTAAATTCTGTGAAGTGAACAGTCGATTAATTGGGCGCCATTTCCAATTTATTATTTGGCAAGGCAACCGAAACGTTGGGCGCCATTAAAAATATGATTTGTATAAACCCTTTATATACAACATATACACGCCTATTTTAAGGTCATGAAGAAATATTTAAAAAAAACCACGCCTATTTTTTTAAAAACATTGCATTAAAAACATTGCAAAAACACCGCTATGCCAAATTTCGTGCAAATCGTAAGATATTTAAGAACCTTGGCGCACCATTTACCTAAAATCGGACGAAAATATGAATGGGAGCTATATCGAAATCTGAACCGATTTTCACGAAACTTAGCACACATCATTTTAGACTTATTTTATTCCGTTAAGCAAAATTTCGTGCAAATCCAAAGATATTTAGGGACATTGGCGCACCATTTACCATAAATCGGACGAAAATATATATGGGAGCTATATTTCACGTACGTCATTCTAGGCTTAATTCAGTACGCTAGGCCAAATTTCGTGCAAATCGAAAGTTATATAGGGACTTTGGTGTACCATTTACAAAAAATCGGACGATATTATATATGGGAGCTATGTCTAAATCTGAACCGATTTTTCCCAGTTTCAATAGGGTTCGTCCTTAGGCCAAATAAATGAGCTGTGCCAAATTTCATCCAAATCGGATGCGACCTGTACTTTGTTTACAATTTAACATCAACAGACGGACGAACGGACATGCATAAATCGACTCAGCAAGTGATTCTATGCATATTCTCAAAAGGAACCATGGGTCTATTACGTTTCCTTTTGCCTCTTACAAACATATGCACTAAGACATAATACCCTGTACCACAGTGTGGTGAAGGGTATATAATCCACGCCTAAATGAAGGCTTGATTTTTTTTTTTAAATTCACGCCTATATTAAAGGTCTCAAAAAAAAAAAAATAAATAATTATAAATAATTTAAAAAATAATAATAAATAATTTAAAGCCTTGAAAAAATATTTTTAAAAATTCCACTCCTTTGGAGGGCATATTTACGTTGGGCGCCATTTCTATTTAAACGTTCTCAAGTGCTAAGAACTCCTCCAGACTTTAGTTGACCTTTAAATTTCTCATCATTTTCGTTGTTGTTGTTATTTAACATTACCTCATTTTATGGACATTTTCAAATTTGCATTAGGTTATTTTTTTGTTGTTGGTGTTGTTGCTGCTGCTGCTGTTGCCTGCTACATAACCTCTATATAAGCATTGGGATTTTTCGCAAAACATTTATGGACTTTATGGTCCAAAGCCACAAAACCATGGTTAGTAGCTACAGTTGTAAATATTTATGTTGTAGTGGAACGAGAACAAACAGCTCGTACCATGTACTCTCACTACCCTCCCTCCTCCTCCCCACCTCCATCTGCGGACACACAAAATCTCTCTGTTAGCCAAAAAACAAGAAGAAAAAAAACTGAAATGCAATTTATGATTATGCGAATGTTTCTTCCTCTAACGATGATTACATTTCGAAGATGTATGTTTTGAGGCCGACCAGCAGTAGAGCAGCAGCAGCAGTAACGGAGGATAAAACTACTTTAGTGGCATCAGTGTGAAGAAGAGAATGAAGAAGAAGCAACTGAAGCCAAAAGCGAGTAATAAAAGGACCATTCCAAATGAAGAAGAAGAAAAAGAAAACGAAACTCTAAAATAACTTTGGTAAGTGAAAAAGTTTCCATTTTCAGTGTTCGTTTGGATTTTTTCTTGGCCATATCGAAACGTGATATGGTCGTAAAGTACGGGGGATGGAAGGGAGAAGATAAAACAAAAAATACCGAACGTCTAAAGAGCAATGGTTAAAGGTATTCACTTTCAAATAAGGCCAAGACTAAACGCAAAACGTTTGTAAAAGATGAAGGTAGTTTTGATATAGAATGGGAATTTTTCTGTTTTTTTTTTCGCTTGGCAAAGAAAAGAGAAATGTACAAATGCTGTGTAAAGGATATTCAGAAGTCAAGGACAGTGAGTTTGGGAATGGGAAATTAAAGATTTGTTTGAATCTCGCTTCGACGAGAATTATAGCAATACAAATCAAACAACACAAACGTTGGGCGCCACCAAAAAAATCCGAAATCAAAAATTCGAAAATATTTTTAAGATCTTAAAATAGGCCTGGATTAAAAGAAAATTTGTTTCAAAATATATTTTTTCAAGGCCTTCAAATAGGCGTTAACATGCTCTAATATGACTGGTAGCTCTTAGTTATTAGTTATTGACCTGATTCTATCGCAGATCAGTAATATGCTTAAAGTGATGATTTTTTGATAATTGGGCGCCATTTGATATGAAGGTATGATTGTAGGAATACGGAGTCGAAATATTGATATTGGATGTGTTTCTCATGCAATTTTGAAAAAAAAATATAACGCATGAAATGTTGGGCGCCATTCAAAATTTTAATTTGATATAAATCTAGAAACAAGTAAAGATTGAGTCGAATAATACCAAAAATATTTAATGTTGGGCGCCAATTTCAAAAAAAATGTATAATTAAAGTTCCATATGTTAGTCGTCACTGTAATGTTGGGCGCCACTTTCATAAACATGTAAATTATGGTTTAATAAAGTCCTAAGAGGATATCCACACTTTGGATTTTTAAAAAAAAATATTTTTCAAGGCGTGGATTTTTTTAAAAAATATTTTTTGAGGCCTTCAAATAGACGTGGATTTTTTTAATATTTTTTCAATGCCTTTAAATCGCGTGGATTTTTTAAAATATAACGCACGAAATGTTGGGCGCCATTCAAAATTTTAATTTGATATAAATCTAGAAACAAGTAAGGATTGAGTCCAATAATACCAACACTATTTTAATGTTGGGCGCCAATTTCAAAAAAAGTGTATAATTAAAGTTCCATATTGTTCCATATGTTAGTCGTCACTGTAATGTTGGGCGCCACTTTCATAAACATGTAACATTATGGTTTTTGGTTTAATAAAGTCCTTAGAGGATATCCACACTTCGGATTTTTTTTTAAATATTTTTTCAAGGCCTTTAAATAGGCGTGGATTTTTTAAAAAAATATTTTT